GGGTTAGACTAGATGATCCTTGGGGTTCCCACACCTTAACCACTGCATTTTTTTAATGATGGTTAGAAAGTGTTTCTGTGCCGTTCTTGAGCCAGAGTTCTTGGCATTGCCTAACAATTCACTCCTGCTTCCATCTTAGAGTCCAGAAGACACAGCACGCAAGGAAGTTGAGAGGGGAGGGCTGAAAAATGGTCTGTACATGCCTAGCGTGGCCTGGTAGTGCTCAGTTTGTCTTGCAGTGGCCTGTTTCACGTTTTTCCTTGGGGGACTGGCATTTCTTGCACACTCAAGGGACAAATCTGCAGGCTGGCTGGTGCACGCAGGGGTCCAGCAGACAGACGGTCCAGCTATCTGAGCACTACGGACACCTTTCGAGGCAACGTAGAGGAGGAGGGGTTCCTTCCTTGCTGTGGAGAGGAATTTAGGGTGGGGACTTGCTGACTCGGCCCGTTCCTATTCTAGTTTCAGGCTTGTCCCAAGTGGGAGACAGCAATCGCGGTAGGTCTGAGAGGTTTTAAAACAGGGCGTTATTTTGATTCAAGGCCAAGGCAGTAGAAAGGCCTGTATTCTGGTGGGTGGGCAATGGGGGGACATGAGACCAGCCAACTCCCTCCTCTCCAGGCTTTACCCTGGTTGGCAAGAGGGAGGCTCGCCTTGCATCGACCTGGGATGCCTGGCCTCTGAGGCAGCCCAGCCCTGGTTTGTCTGCCTGCCCAGCCGACGTCAGACTGGAGCCCGAGGTGTCCGTGCAGGTTGACCGTCTTCAAACCAGCTTTACCGCCACCGACCAAGCAGTCTTTCTCCGAAAGCCACCTCCATCTCCATTCACAGAGAGCTCCAAATTCAAAACATCGCCCACAGGCCAAGTCCACACACGAGACAGCCTGGCCCAAACGCCCGAATTCTCACACGCTGTTTTCCGACGGCCAGGAGGCTCACCAAAGACAGGCAGCCGGGCATCCTGGCGTTCCAGGCACCCTGGTTTGTACCCCTGCCAGCCAGCTTGCTTAGTGAGTCGTGAGGGTTCGCTGCCTCTGGGCAGGATCCAATGAAGTGAAACCAACCAGGAAGGACGCCGAAATAATGAAAACTGAACAGAAAGGGAAATGAATAGAGGAACGCTTGAGTGCCAGTCGGCTAGGGGTGGAAGTGTGTTGGAAAAAAGTTTTCACAAATTTCCTGAATATAAGGGAGGGGGCCACATACTCTAACGCAAGGGCCACCCTGGAGACCCCTTGTCACCCCACCCAAGTCCTGCGAACCTCAGAGAGCCGTCCTTAGAAGCGTGGAAACTAGCAGCTGGGCAGCCTAAAAGAGAAGCCCACCCCTTTGGCACACCTCTGCAATTCCAGAACAGACACCCGCAAAGTCAACGGTTAGTAAAAAAAAGTTTTTATTTTTTTTCCAGAAAGTTACCATTTCGAGCGCAGAGAAAAAGCAAGAATTCCAAACACTCAACAAAATAACGTCGCCTTGATTGCCCTCCTTCCGCTTCCTTCCTCTGTTGCTGCCTGTTTTACTACAGTCCCACTGTCACATAAAAGGCTCTCCGCCCCCCCGCCCCCCGTCAGCAGGAAAGAAGCACAACCAGGGGAAAGTTCTGAATTTTTTAAACATGCTATGCAGGACCAAAGCTCAGCCAAAACCAGACCAAAAAGTTCACGTTAAAAACAAGGTTGGTATGAGAGCTTTCAATTCTCGGACCCCCACCCCGGAGAGGAAGAAAGTGGGACATAATGCACCAAAGTCAAGAAACCTTCTAGTTTTCAACATAAATAACTCCCAACAGATACACCGAGAACATACTATATAGTTCCAGCGGGCAACGGGGGAAGAGTGGTGGCTGCCGATGCCAGGGGCCCCCGGCGGGGGCAGAACTTGGCTTCATTTCAACGGGCTGAGCAGGAGTCAGGGTACCCCCCAGTTACCCCATAAAGTACAGATTTTGTGGGTTTATTACGGAGTCTATGCAAGTATTTACAAGGTTGGCTTTTTTTTCTGAAAGATAAAAATAGGGTGGGAAAAAAGGTCAAAAGTAAAGGATCAAGGCCTTCTCCGAAGCAGGCAGGATCCAGGGAGGCAGCTCTGAACAAACCCTTGGTTCTCCTTTGGCAACTGGGCCGGTCAACCACCAGGACCCCCGAATTTCTCCCCCACCTCCCCAAGCGCCCAGACTCCTCCACAAATCATCACGTCGTCACCCCGCGGTCACACCCCAACTCCTCTTCGGCCCGCCAGGCGCCTCTTCAGTTGTCTTCGTCGCTGTCGTCGGGGCTGATGGCCGGGCTGGTGAGGCTGTAGGTGGGCGATGTGGGGCTGTAGCCGGGAGAGGTCGGGGAGTAAGTGGAGCCTTTGGGGGAGGTGGGCGAATAGGTGGGAGAGGTCGGGCTGTACTTGGGGGAGGTGGGCGAGTAAGTAGGACTCGTCGGGCTGTACTTGGGTGATGTCGGGGTGTACACAGGCGATGTCGGCGAGTAGGTGGGGCTGGTCGGGCTGTATTTTGGTGTGGTCGGGCTGTAGGTGGGCGAAGTGGGGCTGTACTTGGGGCTGGTCGGGCTGTACTTGGGGCTGGTCGGGGTGTACTCTGGAGAGCTGGGGCTGTAGGACGGGCTGGTCGGGGTGTACTTGGGGCTGGTGGGGCTGTAGCTGGGCGAGCTGGGGCTGTAGCTAGGCGATGAAGGGGTGTAAGTGGGTGACTGTGGGGTATAGCGAGGGCTGGAGGGAGAGTAGCTGGGCGAGGTAGGACTGTAGGAGGGGCTGGTAGGGGAGTAACTGGGAGATGTCGGGCTGTAGTTTGGAGAAGTTGGGGTGTAATTAGGAGAGGTTGGGCTGTAGCTGGGGGAAGTAGGGCTGTAGCTGGGGGAAGTGGGGGTATAATTTGGAGATGTTGGGCTATAATTAGGGCTGGTGGGACTATAGCTAGGAGAGGTAGGGCTGTAGCTGGGCGATGTTGGGCTGTAGCTGGGTGATGTTGGGCTGTAACTCGGGCTGGTAGGGCTGTAGCTGGGCGATGTCGGGCTGTAACTTGGGCTGGTGGGACTGTAGCTGGGTGACGTTGGGCTGTAACTAGGGCTGGTGGGGCTGTAGCTGGGGCTGGTTGGAGAATAGCTAGGGGACGTTGGGCTGTAGCTGGGACTGGTTGGGCTGTAGCTGGGACTCGTTGGGCTGTAGCTGGGGCTAGTGGGGGAGTAACTTGGCGAGGTGGGGCTGTAGCTGGGGCTGGTGGGGCTGTAATTTGGACTAGTAGGAGAGTAAGAAGGAGATGTGGGACTGTAGGAGGGCGAGGTGGGGCTGTAGCTGGGGCTTTGGGGCGTGTATACTCCCGGGGAGCGTGGCTCATAGGCGGGTGAGGTTGGGGAATAGCTGGGCGACATGGCACCGCCTGGAAGGGCAGAAGGAAACAGACGTTAACCTGGGGCTCAACTCTCCAAGGCCAATATTGGGAGGGGCAACAGGGCTGTGGCAGCAACATACCTGGTGATGGAATGTACGGGCTGGAAGGCCCTGGAGAGCCAGGAGACCCCGGGGTGGGTGACCAGGCTGGGGAATACCCAGGGCTGAAACCGCTGGCATCTGAAGCTGCGCTGGGAGAGAAACCAGCAGCCCCGGGAGTCATTCCGCTCCCTGCAAAGAAGAGAAAGGAAGAGACACTGTTGGGAAAGGACTGAGACCCTCCCTGCCCTGCGGGGCTGGGGCAGAGGGCACTCTCACCCTGGGAACGGTTCACGTGAAAGGTGGCCTAGAAATACATTTAATGGAAAACACATGCTCTCCCCCCCGCTCGGGGCAGCCTGCAGCTATTAGCAGCTGGCCTTTGGCTCTGAGGCTGCATCACTTGCTGGTTTTGGCAGCCGGGAAGCCCCCAAGGGCCGATTCCCGCATGGGAACCCTGCATATTTTAACTGCGCTCGCCGCCTCTCGTAAGTGGTCTAAGATCCTCAACGCCCTCAATGGAATTCGCAGATCAGGAGACTGAGACTTTAAAAGGGGCAACGGGCCTGGTGTGCCAAGTTAATTTAACCCATTTCCATTATGGCCACAGACAGAACAGCTCGACCCACAGAAATCTTGAGAACTTTTTCCTGCCGCCCAGAAGACCCTGCAAGGCACGTTCTTGTGATGAAGAAAGGCGCAGGGGTGTTGGGGTTTCAGATCAGCTCTTCCCCCCTGGGGGGAGGGGGGCACATCTATGCTCCCCTCAACAGCTTGACAGGATACCGAAACCAGAACATCAATACAAACCACCATCAACGTAAACCGCTTAGTCCTAAATCAGGGCTTGAAACGTTTTCTCGGCCAGGGGCCCAGATACCTACCAACACTTGGCGACCACGCGCCGTAGGCTGGTGTGGCACCTTGGTTCCACGGGGTTGTGGCAGGCGACACCCCGCCCATGGGGCTGGGCGCAGAGCCGAAGAACATGCCCGTAGCTGTAGAAAACAGAAGAGAGTGAGCAGGGCCAGTGGCCCCAAGGAAGATGCTGGAGCAGCCCAGTTCGTGGGCCCCTCTCCCCAGGGGCAGAGAACGGGCTGGAAGCAGAAGACCTGCCCTGTCTGGTCAGAGAGCTGTGGCTGCCTCCCCATCTTTCATCTTCCAGAGGCGGAATGTGGCCTGACTCTCAATTGTAATCCCTCTGGGGCTGGAGAAATGGCTAACACCAGCCTCCCCCAACCCAATACCCTCTACCTGGGTCAAATCTGATACCTATAGGGAGACTATGGCTAGGGATTCTGGGTGCTGAACTCCCAAACTGGGGAGGTGGGAGCTCAAACCTTCCCCCCAATCCAAATGATAGGGTTCCTAGCGCTGTCCTCTTGCGACCTGTGGCTGCCCTCCAGCCCCTCCCCTCCTGTTTCCCACAGACGCCCCAGAGAGGCACCGAGTACTTACGGCCCCCGACACCCAGCCCGGTAATGTTGGTGGGGATCTCCATGCCGTATTTGCATTTCTCAGCGTCCAGCAGGAGGTCAAAGCAACCGGTGCCAGCAGGCGCGAGCTGGCCCAGCATGATGTTTTCTGAGACCCCCTTCATGGGATCGCTCTCACCGTGGGCGGCGGCTTCCATCAAGACATCAACCTGGAGGAGGCAGTAAGAGCCCAGTTGGTGGGATTCTGGCCACGGGACCCCGGTAGAGCTGGATTTCCCTTCCAGCACCTACTCACCGTCTCTTCAAAGGAGCACTTCATGAGAGGCCCCGTGTCCTGGCGGTTGACGCCATGCCGCGTGATGGCCATCAAATGCCCGCGGCAGGTCATGGTGTCACAGAGCAGGGCCAAGTGGCGATAGTTGACGTACGAGCCATCAAAGGAGATGACGTGGTACAACTCTCGTTCCAGAGCCTTCCTCACAGCCTCGATGCCCAGCACCTACAGCAAGGGAAGACAGACTCTCACGGTCACGCAGGCCCTGGCATCTCCAGGCCCCCGTTTTCCCAACCCATGCCACTCTGAGCTCACCGTGAAAATCTCCACGATGTCATTGGAGGTGGTGCGCACGGGGTCCACATCTTTCTCGCTCAGCACACGCATGAGGCTCACACCATCGGTTTCCAAGATCCACTCCTGCAGAGCTTTGAACTCGCCGTCTTCTGTGATTATGATTTTCTTCTTGTTGTCGGTCTGGGGCAGGTGCATGTACACCTGGGGGAAGAGGAAGGTGGGGAATTAATAACGCCAGCAACGGATGGGAGGGAGGGAGGGAGGGAGGGAGGTTTGTTCTTGGAGGGCCTGTTATGATAGGCCAACCGTACTCACCTTGCTGATTTGCTCAATGCCTTGAAGGGTCATGTCTGTCAGCATGTTGGACTCGATGCAGCGCAGGAAGACGTCGTCATCCATTTTGTCCACCACCTCTTCCTCCTAAGCCATCAAAGAAGAAAGATCTCTCACGTACTGCACAAGACGGTTACTGCAGCCATGGAATCAACCCTCACTGGCTGATGAGACCAAGGCTTTAACTCAAAATCATCTGCCCCAACCTGGCCCAGTCTGGAAATGCATGAGTTGGCAAAAGCTGCTCTGGGAGACTGAACACCTGGCCCGAGGCAGCCACGAGCAGGCATGTGCCCCCTGCTTCCCATCAACTGCAATCCCCAAAGGTTAAGATCGCAGCCTTCCCCACCTCCTGCATCTTGTTCTCATCACTGTTCATGATGCGAATCCGCAGCACCAACTTCTCTGCGTTGTCATCGTTGAAGATGCAGTTGAGGTCATCTCCAAAGCCTGCAGAGGAAGAAGGTGGGCGCATGGGCTGCCAGCGGAAAGGGGCAAAGGGCCGAGCCTCCAGAGGCTGAGCAGGCTCTGGCCAACAACCCTCCTGCCCTTCTCACCAGCATTGATCTTCTCGGCAATCTGTTCCATGGTGAGCTTGCGGTCAGTCATGTGCTTGCGGTCCAGCTCCACCCTTAGCAGCCAAGGGGAGATGCGGGTAACATCAAAGTCGGGCATCTCATAGTAGACATTCACCCACTCCTGGTCCTCGGCCACCACTGTGTTCTGAGGGTTGGGGTCGTAGTAGATGGCCGTGTTGGCCGTCACCTTGCGGAGGGTTGTGTGCTCCAAGCGGCAAAGGATGTCCTGGGAAGGAGACGTGGGGGTGAGGCAGAGACCTGGAACTCAACCGTGGAAGCTACTTTCTATGGAGCTCTAAATCTAGTGCTTGGCCACCTGTTTGCAGTTGCTCTCAAGAGATGGAGGCAGAAAATGCTGGGGGCACAACCTGCCATCTTCGGCACGCCAAGAGAGAGATCAGAAGAGTCAAGAGGCAGCATGGTTCTGCCTCCGGATCTCCTTGGGATCCCCTTCCCTCGTACCCCACAGCCAGGCCCAGTTTCGCCAGGACCCCCCTTCCTCTCCTCACCTTGGCCCTCTCAGCGTCACGGGCAGATTGGCCGAGGAGGAAGACAGTCAAGGAAGGGGTCTTGGGCTTCTTGGAAATGTTGATCAGTTCCTTGAGCCGAGGCACTCCCAGGGTCACATTTTTGGCAGAGACCCCAGCATAATGGAAGGTGTTGAGGGTCATCTGGGTCGCAGGCTCTCCCAGGGACTGGGCAGCCAACGCCCCCACCATCTCACCAGGATGAGCCTGTGGAAAAACTGTGGATGTTAGCTCAGACATGCTGAGTTTGATGGTTTGGTTATTCTGAAAGTAACTCCCAGCTTAGCATCCCACCAAAGCCTAGGCCAGTCTTCCACCCACTCAGGCATCCTTCGCATACATGGACCTTGGCTCCCAGAATTCCCAACCAGCACGGCCATCAAGGAGACGTCTAGGAGCTGAAGCCCACACATCTGGAGAATGCCTGGGTGGGGGAAGGCTGTTCAAACTGTGGACAGCTTTAAATACGGCTTGAATGTGGCTTGCTTCCAACAAGCATGAGGCAGGCTTGGAGGGACTGTGCTACAAAAGAATGGAACAGAAGCTTCCCAGCTCCTTCGTGACTCAGCCAGAGGAACGGGAGAGAAGGCTGGGAGACTCCCCACGCTTGACCCCATCATGATAAAACCATGGTGTTATGCAGCTCTGCCCGTTCCAAGAAGATGCCTGCCATCTTCTGACCCCTTCAAGCCAGGGCAGAACTTTCCATCCCAGAGCAATTAGGCACTTGTTTACTTTCCATCACTAAAAACTTAGCTCTGGCAGCAAGGAATTCTGGGGCGTTTCAGTGTCCCAGAGGGCCCTTCCTTGGCTGTGCTGAATGCAACCCAAGGGAGATTCTGCCCCCTCCCCTCCCTCCCCCGCCATTTCCCCAGCCATTCAAGTTGGAAGCAAAAAATGTGCAAATGGAGAAGTTTGGACTTTCAAGTTCCAAGCAGAAGTTGAAGCAAGTCCTGGGAAATGAAACAGTTCAGTTTTACTTCTCCCGGCTGGTTTTTGTCAGACCAGGTGAGTTCCCTTTCGTGGCCTTGGCGAGTACTCACGATGGCCTGGTTGAACTTGGATTCGATTTCTCCCAGCAGCCAGTCGAAGGCCTCCCCGCTGAGCCGGAACTCTTCAATCATGCGCCGACTGCAGAGCGTGGAGCGCAGGTGGATGTTGAAGAGCAGGGTGGCGTTCTCCTGGGCCTGCTTGCTCAGAGGATCGTCCCCGTTCACAATCACCAGCTTCTTGCTCAGCTCCTTCACGCCTGAAAGAGAGGGGGAGATGAGCCTCGTTCCCCTGGGAGGAGCAAGGGCAACCCCCCCGCTGTTCCTGACCCCGCCTTGTCTCCAGAGTTGCCCCACTGAATGACTGGTGGGCAAGGCCCTGACCCCACAGCTCAGGAAATCCATAGGTGGGTTCCAAACTCCTCTCCCTGTTCTGCCAACGGAAGCGCTGGCTCCCCAACTCACTCACCCTCCACCACCTTGATGGGGTGCAAGTCGGAGGGGAGGCGCGTATTGATGTGGAAAATCTTCTGGGCATTCCAGATCATGCGCAGCAGGTTGCAAGGAAGGACTACCTGTTATGGGAGGGAAAGTCACGGGCTGAGCTGCAGCCGGAACCACCTGTCCCTGGTACCCCGTGGGCCAAGATAATGTCACGGGGACGGTCCGCCTGTGGCACGTTCCAGACAGAAGCCCAAATGTGCAGGGAAAGCAGGCTTGTTCCCCAGTTGTGTGAATGTGGGGCGGGCAGGCAGGGAGCATGGCAACCCGTGCTTCCTTTTCTCATGATTGCAAATAAAGGAAAAGGTGAAGAGGGGGAGACTGCTTCCTGCACTGGGGACGCGTGTGCAACAGGGGTCTCACCTTCTCCGAGGGAGGGAGCTGGGGCGGGCAGGCAAGAGTCCCCAGGCCAGCCTCACCTTGCTGTCTCCTGTGGGGAAGATGACTCTCAACACCTCCCGGTCCTCCTTCATCTTCTCGAACTCCCTCTCCAGCTCATTCTGGATGTGAGCGTTACTAAGAATGTCCTTCACCATCTCCTCTTGCAGTGTCCGCCGCAGTGCCCGCTCATTGGTATAATCGAACTTGAACCTGGGAAGAGGGAAGCGAAGGGGGCCATCAGGGTGGCCACGCAGCTCCCGTTATGCTTCTAAATGTTCAAGGCTGGCGCCAGACCAACGCCAGGAACTGCTCTCCAGACAGCTGCATCCTTCTAAGTCCCAGGGGTCTTGGTAGAGACCAGAACAAAAGCTTGTCTCCTCATCCTGCCACGCAGCTCTGGGCACCCCGAATCCCCCTTCCCCAAGAGCACAGGATAGTCTAAAAGAGCCCCTCAGAGCCACTTCATCACAGCAGGAGATCTGTCAACAAGATGCCCATTGCAAGCCCTTCACGCCCAACCTTCCTCCACTATTTTGAGAAGCCTCCTCAAAAAAGAAGAGAAAACAGTTGCCCCTCCCCAAGCAAACCCAGGAGCCACCAAGCCAGGCCGGGCCCTCCCCCACCCACAGACGTGCCCCGGCCCAGAGCGAAGGACTCACTTCTTTTCAAAAGCTTTGTTGGATGGCTTGAGGGTGGCCAGGTTCTGGAACTCCACGCTCTCCCCAGCCAGCCCGTCCTCCCCGTAACGCAGCTGCACCACCTGGTTGATGGAGTTGCGCACGGTGGCGTCGTATTTCACCATGACGGACTCCATGGACTTGATCAGTCGACGCTGGATGTAACCTGGAGAGAGGCGGCAGGAGATCGGAAGAGTCCACGGACACTCTGAATTTGAGACGTGGCGCGGGGGGTGCCTCCTTACCAGAGCCCCGGGGACCTGACACCCTGGCGCCTGAGAGCCTCCCCAAGCTTGCCTCCCGGCAGCACTCAGCCCCTTCCAGCTCACCTGTTTCCGCGGTCTTGACTGCCGTGTCGATCAGCCCCTCTCTGCCTCCCATGGCGTGGAAGAAGAACTCCGTGGGGGTAAGACCGGCCAAGTAGGAGTTCTCCACAAAGCCCCTGCTCTCGGGCCCGTAGTCGTCCTTGATGAAGTGGGGCAGCGTGCGGTGCTTGAAGCCAAAGGGGATGCGCTTCCCTTCCACGTTCTGCTGCCCCACCACAGCGATGACCTGGGGGGTGGGAAGAGAGCAGCACCCTCAGCCGAGGCAGCCCAGACCTCTGGGGACCGCCCTCCACCCCAGCCCCAGCCTTGAGTTGCGAGAGGCGGTAATACCTGGGAGATGTTGATCTTGGAGCCTTTGGCCCCGGAGACCACCATGGACTTGAAGTTGTTGTACTCGGAGAGGGACTTCTGGGCAGAGGAGCCTGTCTTGTCTCGGGCATCGTTCAGGATCCGATTGACCTGGTTCTCAAAGGTCTGGCGCAGGGTGTTGCCAGGCGTGGGCTCCAGTTCGTTGTTGTGTGCTTTCTCAATGACCTGGTGGGCAGCAGAGAGGGCAAGGATTCGAGGCAGGCCCAAGGACATGGGCCTGGCTTTTCAAGGCTCCTTCACCATTCACCATTTTCCCTCCTCCCCTTTCAGTCTCATACATTTCTCCACATAGCTGTGCCAGCTCCTGCATACACTGCTGCTCTCTACTGGCCAAGAGACATTTCCCCACTGCTCTGGACTTCTGATTTTAGCTGAACTTGTTGGGACAACTTATCCCACTTTCACGCCACCCTGGACACACCATTCAAAGGCAACGTAGAGCTTGTGGAAACAGTCTCAAGCTCCAAGTCTTCCCTTTTGTGGGTGACCCAGCACCAGGTCCTGGCACCCAACCCTCGTCTTACCAGCCTCCCGCACCTGGGCGTCTTTGTGGCAAAGCTTCGCTTGCTTGCTTGCTCCCTACCTCAATCACATCCTGTTTGGCTTTCTTGATCGTGTTCTGGATGTCCTGGTAGGTCTTGGCATCGGCAATGGAGTCCCCGATACCAATGGTGTGTCCTGGGAAAGAGAGAGAACGGCTTGAGGGCAGGAAGAGAAGCGGGCCTTCGCCTCCCCCAACCGCTGTATGCAAAAGCCACATTTGCCTGCAAATTAGGAGCTTTGCTTACTACGCCTATGTACGTCCGCACGTATCTGCCCAATTCAAGAAACGGAGATGCAGCATACAGGAAAATCTCAATTTTATAAACCGCCCCCCAAGAACAAAGCCCATTTTTTCCAAAACAGCCCTGATAACTGATGTACACTTTACAAAAATGTTGATTTAACTGACATTAAGATATTGACACGCCTCATTTTCTGCTGCTCTGTAAAAATCAAGGTTTTACACAAGTTATTATGCGATGGTTTTGAAGTTCTACAGTTCCCATTGACTATTATAATTTCCCACAAGTCTTGGCCGGTCTCAGCTTGGTCCTCTTTCCAGACCTCTTGGTACTTTCCCACCTGAATGTCATCACCTCATCCCGTCCCCATGGGAACTCTCTTGGTTTAAGAAACATTTTCTGTTATACCCTCTTCAGAGATCTTGACTGCAGATTTCCCCCACGTGCTACGTATGCTTAAGTCTTCTACAACAAACCCTTCTGCCTGTAAGGCCTGATTTAAGCAGGCTGTGCGGACACCATCTCATCTACATGTCCGTTCCTACTTGTCCATTCATTAACTCCTTTGCAGCAGCATTTAGATAACACCATGCTGACCTCTGGCCAAAGGTTGCTGAGAGCTTTGCAGAACAGTGAGGGCATTTCCATGGGCTGGAAGCTGATCACCCCCTAATCTTTTGTTTTTCTATGGGGCAAGAACCGCCAGCACACCCAGTGGCTGCCATGATTGTCAGCAAAATATCCCACACGATATGAAGATGCCCACCAACACCTCCCCACTGCCTACTAACCCCCACCAAAGAGCAGCCCTATTTTCCAAGAAACTGCGAACAAGGACCACTGGCCCAACGTCTGCCGAAACCAGTCCCAGCAGCCAAATCAGCCTCACCTTCAATCAGCAGCCAATTGTTGATGACTGTCTGGATGTTGCTGTAGAACAAGCGAGTGACATCATGGCCCATCTCCAGGTAGGAGATGTGGACCAGGGAGCCAGCTGAGGTGCCCAGAGACTTCTTGCACAAGATGCCCATGATCAGCTCTCCGTTTTCCACAATGACCTGGAAATCAGGAAGCATGAGAGTGGAGCCAGCCTCTCCCTCATCCTAAAGGCGGCTGCAGGCTCCCAGGTGGAAGTTCCATCACCAAAGCTAAGCCAGGGAGGACAGGTACGTTCCCACAGATCCTTCCCCAAAGTCTGCCCTCCAGCCATTCTCCACCACGACTGGCAGGACCAAACACTTCTAACTGGTCTGGGTTCTCTGTACAAGGGGAAGGAGACTGTTTATTCCAGCTTGCCAAAGCCGCCACTTCTCCTGGAGCTGGAACAGCTTGGCAAAGCGGACTGAAGGCTTTCCAGGCCCTGGCAAGCATCCTGGGTACACATTATCTAGGTCCAAGAAATATTCAGAGCAGGTGATGGCTACAGGTTGGATGGAGAAGTGACAGTGGAACGGAGCAGGCAGGTTCACCCACTCAGAACAAGACTTAAAACGTCTCGTGTCCTTTGTCTGCCTTCTAACCCTATCTGGAATCCCAAGGCCTAGACACCCGGGACACCGTCGCTGATCAGAAGCTGCTACAAACTTTTTCCCTTGAGTTCCTCCCTGGCACAGGCAGACCACCTCTTCTCTTGACAGCCGGACAAGCTGCCAACCATTCTGGAGAACCTGTATTGAAATTAAGGCTTTCCTCCAACAATAAATCAACCCACTGTAACGTCGGTGGGAGAGACGAGTCAGGACTGACTCTTGCCCCTGTGGACACACTGCTCTACTTCTCCCCAACCGAGTGATAAAAAGACTGGGGTTGCGTAACTACAGATTCACCCTGGGGGAAGCAAATCCCCTGAGGGATTAGAAAGGGAGTAAGGACACCTGGCCCTCTTCCCAGCAATAAGCAACGGTCCTACCTTGGTGTCTCCCGGAGAGATGTGCTTGTACGGGCCACTGTCTTCATCATCCGGATGTGTGCTGTGGGTCCGGATACAGTTGATGTGTCCTGGGATAATCAGGGAGAAGATCTGCTTCCCAGTCCAGAGCGGGCGAGGCTTGAGGATGGCCGGCTGAGGGACTTTGCCATCCCAGGTGGACAGGAACATCAGCAGGTTCATCACTTCACCCTGGGGTTTAGGAACAGGATGGAGCAAGGAAATGGAGAAGCACCAACCCCCACGTTCTCCCGCCTTCTACGCTAGCTCTGTGGCACATGCCTGTCCTCAAGATTCACCACTCCTTAGTGATCGGAGAAAGAATCAGCAGGCTAACCTTGGCTTTCTGAGCCTTTTCCTCAGGAAACGGCCCGAAAAAGACACCCCCTCGCTGGATCTTGCCCTGGCTCACTCACCCTCTCCAGGAAGACATCCCTCTTGGTGAACTTGCGGACAGCTGTCAACGTGTCCTGCACGATGCCCATGACAGGCCTGTTGGATTGGGGCGTGACGATCATACGGGGCACCATGGCCAGCTCCTGGATCTCTGCCCGGGTTTCCAAGGACTGGGGAAGGTGCAGGTTCATTTCATCGCCGTCAAAGTCAGCGTTGTATGGGGTGGTCACACTGATGGTCAAAGAGATAATCCCGTTAGGCCACAGCCCAGCCACGTGTTTGTCCCAGTTTGCAGACTCAGGGCATGGAAGGAGAACAACTGCCTTCTAATCAGACTAAACCCAGCTCTGTAGGAGTAGCTGGGATAAAAATGGAGGTTCTTCACAACTCAGCGACAAGATACAACTCCATCCACGTGGAGAGAAATGGAACAAGCTACACACCCCACCCAGCATTGCATGTTGAAGCTGAACTGTGTTCAAGGGATACAGGCGCTCCCTTTTCAATAAGATGCTACAGATCTGAAAATAATGTGAAGCACTGACTTCAGGGGAAAAAAAAAAGAATTGGAAGATACTATCCTTACCAACTTGCACATAAACCAGTCTGCTACATCTTTATCCCACCTAAATTAACCTCTTCTGAAAAACAGCCCATTTCTTATTTCTAGCAGGAAAAGGCCCAGCAAGAGAAAACGATACTTTTGAGCCTTCCAGAACCTGTTCATTCTTCCCAGGGATGTGCTGGGACTCCAGTTCCTTCGGCCACACTAGGTGGGGATTATGCACATTGTGCTCCCAGCCCCAGGGAATTGGGGGCGGGGGGGTGGACTGGTCCTTCAGGCCTGAGGCCCAGTTTCCAATTCATCTTATACCAAATGCTTCTTATCTTCTCGCTCATTTCCTGAGAATGTTAAGCTTAAGTCCATTCTTTTGTGGAAATGGCTCAGAAGGGAAGGGAAGGGAAGGGAAGGGAAGGGAAGGGGGTGCAACTATCTTTGTTCAAGCCCTCTGGCAGAACAAACAACACAAACCTGAGATTAAGTCGGAAGGTGGACCACGGCAGGATACGAACTCTGTGGCCCATCATGGACATCTTGTGCAGGGTCGGCTGGCGGTTGAAAATGACAATGTCTCCATCACACATGTGTCGCTCCACCTGGAAGCAGGGAAGGAAGATTAGCTGTTGACTGGAAAGGAGGGGGAGAAATCCACGCAAACCCAGGGTAAAGCTAAAAGTCCCTGAAACAAAATCAGCTCCAACTCTGCACTTGGTTAGCACTCCTGGATTAACAAAAGCAAGAACGAACAATTTGCCAATCCTTGCAGAACGCTTTTATCTTTTTGCTAGGGTATGCAGTGTTTTTGGCAGCCCCACGCTGCCCAACCTGAGCTGGCAGGAAGGATGATCAATCCTGCCCCTTACAGATCAGCCACACCATCTCTTCCACCTTTTGACTGGGTGCCATCTTGGTTCACCCCAAAGGACCTGGGAGATATGGCTCCCTTTCTGCCCCCGGGGAGCAGTTTCCTCCCTCTGGCCAACAGCACTAACCTTGTACCCGGTCTGCAAGTGCAGGTCACTGGGCTTAGGGTGAAAACGGAGGTCGATCCTGTCACCATTGTGCCGGATGATGTACTTGGCTCCGGGATACTGACTGTTCCCTCTGCGCACCAACTCCTGCAGCCTGGGGGGGGGGGCAGCCAAGGGGGTCAAGCGGCACCAAGAAAAGTGCTGTGCCTCTGGGAGCCAGCCCAGCATC